GCTTTTGATGCTCTGTGCACACTGCGATACACTGGCCCGCGTCAAATGTTTGTATGACAGTCAATTAAACTTCTACTCCAGTTCTACTTGAGTTTGTCACCAAAGCTCATCAGATCATTCACGTTGCTGAACGCAGCTCGGCCAAATGCCGACGGACATCAATTCTACAGCTCAATTATCACCCCCTTTAAGGGGGTTAGAAGGGATCAGTGATGTAAGCATTTAAAAGTAGCGGATAAGCGGAAAAAACTTTTGTGTTCATAAGCTCACAAGCTTACTCACCTGGTAGCCTTGAGTAAAATTAACTTCATTAACGGTTGTGTGATTTTTCTCGTTTTGTTGCAGATCTCAGTCAGGATCTCAAAGTTGTATATGCCAGGTTTATTCGCGCTTCCATCAGAACCTTGATTCCCCCGCGTTTCGAGTGAAGGGAGTTAGTAACAATGTATAGGACCGGTGACAGCCCTCACAAACGTTTCATCGGTGTACGGATGACTAAATTGGGGATAATGATTCACCCAGGTGTCACAAGAAGTTCCAATCATCCGGACTCGAAAGTATATTTTCCTGAGCATCAGAGTGGTGCCGAACAAAACTGTCAATCAGCAGGTAACAAAGTGATATGTGTGTGCACAAAGACAATATAAATAGGCAATACACCAATATCACAAGACGCGCATTGAATGCCCTCGCTGCAGTAGGAACGTTTGGTTGCCCCAAATGCGCACACGCGGACGAATATTCAGACATCTTTGGTTCTCACTCTGGTGGGCACAGCAGTCGGAAAATTCCTTCCTCCTGTCTCCCCGAGCCTCACGGCAGAACAGATTGTTGGCCTTCAGCTTCTTGAAGTTCACCCGCTTTCTTGCCGACGGACACCTGTAAAATAAGTGATTAATTATAAAAGACACTAGGCCAGGGCCGTCCACAAACCTTCAGCGCACATGGTTTGAAACGTCAGCGAGCACAAACAGAAATAATACGAATCCTGGTTTACATTAGCATGCTGTGTACTTCACCAAGCCTGGGCGCTGGAAAAGACGAAGCTCTTTAATAGTATGCTCAGTTCGTTTTTTAGGTAAGAAGAATTGCACGGTGCGGGCGGCCGGGTCCCGGCATTCAAATGCTAATTGGTGACTGCATTTGACACTAGCATCTGTCAATGTAAAGAACGCCGTCCTCCTTGATGTAGTGACTCTGTTTACAGCCAGAGAATGGGGAGCTCCAGACATCATCAATGTTGTACGTCTCGTCAACCTGGTTGTCATAGCATTTGACATCGTCACTTGTAGAGAACAAAGATAAGTCGAGAGTTAGCCCTAAGGATTTTGCAATCAAAGCATCATGTACGTGCAATTTAGTTTTGCAGTTTTTTTTTTGTTCGTGAAAAAGTGCCTTGCTCTTATGTTCGTAAGCTGACTGCAAGAAGAGACAAACGGAATCAATGGGATATATAAAGTCACCATGGCATCGCATTGTTAGATCTTACCTCTGCCAACCGGGAAACGAAGGTATCTCGGGTACTGTGCACAGCACAGCTGCACACAAACAGCAGCGATGACTAGCAGTTTCCACATATTGCTGACTGAAAGTCTTGCACTGCAGCTGACCAGAGTCCACTCTTCTCCGTTGTCTGGTCTGGTCACCCAACGCTTCTGCATCCATTCCCCAGCAGCCGGCTGAGGAATGGATGCAGAAGGGCCAGTCGTGAACAGCGCAGTTTTCCGGGAGGAAATCCTCCCGAGAGACACTTTTCTTACACGTGCGTGATGTCTGGCTTTAGAGAGCGGGGTGGGGAGGCGTCACCGTGACGCACCAATTGAGGCCGAGCCGAAATGAGATCTGTTGTAAAGATTAACCGCTCCGTAACACCACAAACCACCAAGAAAGATCAGGGGTCGCTAACAGAAACAAACGAGGGTGGGACGCAGAAGTGCTCTGCAAACTGTTTACCGGATCCAGAAAGCTGAAAAAGTTAACATTCCGGACGTACCTGCATAATGCTGCCGACACTTGCCGCCATGCATGGCCCGCTGTGGTACGGCCCCGCTATGGCACGACTCGCCCATGCATCCCAGCATCATCCATCCATTGTGCGCCCGTAAATATTGATCATGTCAGCATGGTGCGAACGCGGCTCTTTTCCAATGTTAAGTGTCAATATCGCTAATGGAACGTTCTCTCTACAGACGAATTACGCCAGGCCTGAGCGAGCTTGAGACTGTCAAGCCATAACAGATTCACATTCGCCATGTGTACAGTAACACTAACGTTGTCGACCTAGTGGCTTTGCAGAGAACTGGCAGTATTCGAATTGATATGGGGATATCGTCGAAGATGTCTCCGCAGAAAAAAATCCTACTGAGATTTGTGCCTTTTAATCATCATCCTGTTTTGATCCTTTTTGTTTTCGTTTGATGGCTTCATCTCGCGCCTTGAACCTTGATGCACCATGAGCAGTGAATCCGATTGCTTTCAAAGGAAGTCTATCTAACCTTATCTAAGGAAGTACTAGTACTACTACTTCTTATAGTACTACTACTACTACTAGTACTAGTACTACTTATCTAATCTTATCAAAAGAAGTACTTCACCCACCCTAGCTGCCCGCACCAGAAGGATATTTTATGGTGTTTATGCCGAATGCTTTAAAAATTGCGAGTGGAACCTGCTGTAACTGCTTTCTTTTACTTGATCTTACAAACGTGTGCAAACGGACATGTGCAGCACACATCAACAGAAAACGCACAACACTTGCTTCCAATGCCGACATCGTGTGTTCGGTATCCTTGAATCTTAGAGTCCCTGAGACCTGAAAAGGCCTCCCTTCGACAGCACTGCAACAATCTCACATCTCAACACACTGTCGAAATCGGCCGACCTATTATTTTCCAGCATAGCTGCTGACGACGTTGGTGCCACACGCATCAGCATCGACTCACTCACTCTTGCTGTGCTTCTTGCGTGCGTCCAGACAAGATGGGGCCTACTGGCGCCGGACTTCTCATCGCTGACTATGGTGCCGGGGAACGCCGTTGCGGAATCCTTGCAAGGTCGTCTGAAGATCGAATGCGTAGAATGTCATTGCATATGCTGCTATGCACTATGCCTCAAAGCAGATAGCTTTGTCCCATTGGAACGTGATGTTATATGTAGTTGCATCAACGCTTTGCAATGTGCAGCTGCACAGTTTATGTGCTATTAGCGGGCTGGTCGTCTTCATATGGCAGATATACGCATTCCAGCCCTGGGATTTACACGGCCCCGCAGCCGGTGGCGTACTGACGCGGTGAGCGAGACGAGAGCTGTTGGCTGCGGCTCATGACGTCAGGTTGATGACGTCACGCGTTGAGGTCCGACACGGAACGACTGGCAAATCGTGATCAGCGACGGCTCAGTTGCGTGCATTTGTAAGGTATGTAACTATAGATGCAAGGGAGGAAAGATCTGAAGCGATAACACTCATTTGAAATTTCTCGTCTGGTAAGTAGCGCCTCATGGAAGTGGCCTTGATGTGAAATTTCCCATAACACTGACCTTACATCTTGGGAGCATACGACGAGCGAGCGCCAACGGGTGCTTGAAGCATTAGGGTCCTCTATAAATGTGGAATGAGTTACGAATTATGCTTATATAATTCTTCAAACTCGTACGCCCCCCCCCCCCCAACCGAAAAACGGTAGCAAGTACTGATAATGTGCAATAAGAATGATAAGTTAAATTCCCGGAATAACTGCACACCACACAATCATGATGATCATGCGCGCAAAGAACCGAGGCATATAGTGTACGTTTGTCACCAAAGCTTACCAGACAGTTTGTTTTCACCGGGCGCAGTCCGACCAAGTGTCCAGCTGTATTATTATCCTTCAGAGGTTGAAAGGGATCAACGATTAAGATTTATTATAGCAACAGATGGCTGGAAAAGCTTCATCTTCCGGTAGCTTTTTTGCAGTTTTCCGGATTTACTTTACTGACAGCCTTTTCGCTAACTTTGCCTGCCTCTGCCTGCAGCATCGCTCATGCCGACAACTAAGAGCCAAAACTTCTCACATTCCTGTTCTTGAAACCACCGTGAGCTGTTCAGACTTTCAAATATTATACCTACATGTGATCACGCTTGATGTAGTGAACCGTTTTATAACCAATTTCAGTCAAACATCGACTGGGTGTCGTCGAAGAACTGGGGACGGAACATGCTCTTGAGCGGCCCGTGGCTGGCCATAATATGCCTCCAAAAGTCATTTTGACGGGCCAAGTAAAATTTACATTTAGGAAAGTCGCTTGAATTTCAAGCGCAAGCTCTATGAATGCAGTCAAAAACCTCCACGATGGATGTTGTTGTGCCATTAGCACTCTCCCGGATGGCCGGCTGCATACCCTTTGCCCGGGTGGGGTGTCAGTTTGACCCCTGCGATCTCAGTAACTAAGAGAGCTAAAGACACAAAATTCACAGGGTGTATTGACTTGTACGTGAGGTCACTTAGGTCAAATTTTGAGGTTTTTAGGTCATGACCTTTGGGTCAAATGAAGTCAAAAAGTTCCCAATTCCAGGCTGGTCTCCAAGGTGCCCCCAGAACCTAGACAACTGTCTCGAAGCAAAACGTCACATGCTCATTAAAATCAGTGACATTGTTTAACCTTTTGAAGGTCATGGTGATCAAAATCATTCAAGACTGCTCGGAGTTTTGCATTTGAATAAAAGACAAAAATTACACCAGGCAGTTTGTTTACAAAAACATAATGTTGACCTGGGCCATTTTAGGCCAGTGACCTATTATAACCTCTAAGAAGTCTATGGAAGTGCATAATGCTGGTCCTGCTATCAAAAACTTCGAAATGGGCAACAGAAACTATCACATACAGCAAGTCCTAAAGTCAAAGAACAGGTTGGTTTTGACATTGGTCTGACCTTCATACATGACCTTAGGCCAGTGCTGTTTGCTTATTCAATTGTTGTATTGCCTATGAAAGCATCTCAGAGATGTATGGCCTCACCTAACACTCCGGTGTTGTATCAGATTGAACGATTCCCTAGAAATTGATTTCGCTGAAACCATGACCTGACTTTCACCTGCCATAGGTGAGCGACCTTACAAGGTACATCTAAGCTTGTTTTACCAAACGGTCCGCGATTCAATTTGCTACAGCTTTAAGCCGCACTGTTCGGAAACCATTGCGGAAAAACCTTCGAGGGGGTCGATTTGACCCTCATCCGAGCGCGTGTTGAAACCAATCTATCTGAAGATAACGTGACCAGCAGCGACGATGCATTGGTAAAAGCCAAACTGGCCAAGTAGGTGCCAGCAGCTTGTTACACAGGGGGAAAACAACTGTGTAATTTATATTTTATTGTTGCAGATCTCAGTCAGGATCTCAAAGTTCACAATGCACTAAAATCACAAACTTTGCACTGAAAGCCCGCGCGGCAATGAGAACAATGCACTCCACCAAATGTGAGCACACGGATGAACATTCAGGCATTTTTGGTTTGTACTCAAGCAAATGTAGTTTCATCCCATCCCTGACTAGAGCAGGGGATATTTGTGCGCCGGCAGCGGCACAAGCTTCCCGTCCACGTAGTGTTTACAGACAAGGCGTGCACAACAGTCGGGAAACTGCTTCCTTCTGTCTCCCCGAGCCTCGCGGCAGAACAGATTGTTGGCCTTCAGCTTCTTGAAGTCCACCTGCGTTCTCACCGACGGACACCTGTAAAATGAGTGCGTTGAGTGCAAAACCCGATAGGCCAGAACTTTCAAAAACCTGGACAACACGTGGTTTAAAATGTCAGCAAGTGCAAACATATATCGTCCAAATCCCGGTCGACATTACCTTTCTGTGGACTTAACGAAGTCTGGGCTTTTGGAATGACCGAGCTTTTGAAAACCATGTGCAGCGTGTTTATTTAGGTAGTAAGAATTTTACGGTGGCCGGTGTCCAGTTCCCAAATTACTAGCTGCTAATTGGTGACTGCATTTCATACTCACTGGTATCTGTCAATGTAAAGGACGCCGTTGTCCTTGACGCAGTGACTCTGTTTACAGCCAGAGAATGGAGAGCTCCAGACATCGCCGATGTTGTACTTCTTGTCAACCTGGTTGTCATGACATTTGGTGTCATCGCCTGAAGAGAACATGATAAGCCGAGAGTTAGCCCTGAAGATCTCACAGCTAAAACATCGGGCACGCTTAATTTAGCTTTGCAGCTGCTTTGTTCGTGAAAAGCTATTTTGTTGTCATGTTTACGCACTTACTATGAGAACAGGCAGGTGGTATAGATCGCCTTGATAAAGTCGCCATGACATCGCATTGCTAGATCTTACCTCTGCCAACCGGGAAACGAAGGTATCTCGGGTACTGTGCACAGCACAGCTGCACACAAACAGCAGCGATGACCAGCAGTTTCCACATACTACTGACTGACAGTCTTGCACTGCGGCTGACCAGAGTCCACTCTCGTCTGCTGTCTGGTCTGGCCACCAAACGCTTCTGTATGCAGTCCCCAGCGGCCGGCTCGTTATATATGCGGCACCGGACTGTGACGTCACGGTGCACAGGACCGGTCGTGATCAGCGCAGTTTGCCGGGAGGAAATCCTCCCGAGTGGCACTGTTCTGGTACATGTCTGACGCCCGACTTGGGGCGGGGGGGTGGATCGTCAACGTGACGCACCAATTAAATCCCAGTCCAAATGGGATCCTTCGTAGAAACCGACCGCTCCGTAATACCACAGACGGTTAAAAAGGCCCGGGGTGGCTAACAGAAACAAAAGGACGCCGAACGTAGAGATGGTTTTCCAACTGTTGTCGGATCCAGAAGGCTGGGAAAGTTTCATCCCGCTTGTACATACTTAATGCCGCCGGCACGTTCCTCCGCTCATGACCCCCGCGGTACGGCCCCGCTATGGTACAACTCGTCCATGCATCCATACATTATCTATCCATTGCACGCCCGTAAATATTGATCATGTCAGCATGGTGCGAATGCAGCTCCCTCCGAACGTTAGCTGTTAGGCGGAATGGAATATCGCTTATGGAAAGTTATCTCCACAGCCTCGGACGAACGTCGTTAGGCCTAAACGAACTTGAGGTCCTTAAGCCCTAGCAGGCTCACATTGTCACGTGTGTAGTAACATTGGCGTTGCCGACCTAGTGGCTTTTGCAGAGAGATAAATGTACTCAAATTGATGTGAGTATATTCTCTGGTATTACAGCGCGGGGAAATTACTGAGATTTTCGCGTTTTTTGCAGCACTCCGTTTTCGTCCCTGTTAGTTTTCGATTCGTGACTTCATCTTGAGCCTCAAGCATTGGGGTATTTCGGACCTTGAATTCGAATGGCCTCAAAATGACTTCAGAACTTCAATAATTTTCTGATCATATCGTTTTTAAATTGTCTACGAAGTCTTCGTGTCAGGCATCTAAGCTGGCCCCTGGTTGGGGTATGCGCAGGCTCAGCGAACTTCGGAGTGATTTGAAGCATAACATTTGGTGGAGACTGAAAGGAAAGGGGGTGATCACTGCTTTGAGGTGACGACATAACGCTTTTCAAAACCAATTGAGACGTGAAAAATACTGAATTCTTGGCAGGGGTGACAGCAGACTTACAGCACATGCTAACAATACCTTCCCTGCAGTCAGGCCACCTTCCGGAGGGCATTGCCCAAGTTGAATGAACAAGTTCACCTGAGGTCTGCTTGCTCGGGTGAAAAGAAGATCACGTGGCCCTGTACCCGGCTGACCCACTTTGGCTAGCTACCAGCTAACTTTTGCCCTATGACTGGAACAAACAGATCTTTCTCTGGAATTCGATGCCGGGGCCAAGTGACCGCAAGCCGTTCATCATCGCGTTTCAACTCATAATGCTGAAAAACTTGGAGCTAGGAGGCCGAAATTCCTTCTTGCTCACATCTAGCAAAATACTTCGCGCATCATTCCTGCCGGCACGGGAAGCACATTTCCTGTTGTTATTTATGGATGCTTAAAGAATTGCTAAAAACCTGCCGTATCTGTTGCCTAGTACCACATATTGCAAACGTGTGCAAATTGACATACGCAACATACCTGAAGCAAAAAAACGCACATTTGCTTCCGATGCCGGCGAACGTGTGTTGGATACGTTGGTATCTTGGGTTTCTGGGACATCGGCAGGTCTCACTTTGACAGCATTGCCTAAACCCCACATTTCAACACGGTATCGAAACCTGACCGACCTTATCTTTTTCCAGCACCATTGCTGACAGTGCTGGTGCAACACACTCGGCCCACACGCAGCATCGGCCCACTCACCCTGGCTCTCGTGCTTCTTATGTTCGTACAGACAGCATGAGGCCTCACTGGCGCCGGACTTCTCATGGTTGGTGACGGTGGTGCCGGGGACTGCCGCGGCGAAATTCTGGCAAAGGCCGTTCAGAGATTGAATACTTTAGATGTTTCCGAAGAGAAGATAAATGCACGTGCTGCTGAGCGCTAAGCCCGAAAGGAGATAGATTCGTTCCACGGGCATGCGAAATATGCATTTGCATCAACGCTTTGCAATGTGCAGCTGCACAGGTTATGCATGATTAGCAGGCTGGTCGACTCCATATGGTAGGCACATGCATTGGGGCCCTGGTATTTACTCGGCCCCGCAGCCGGTGACGTACTGGTCCGGTGAGCGCGACGAGAGCTGTTGGCTGCGGCCCGTGACGTCAGGATGGTGACGTCACCCGTTGATGCCCTGACTTGGGACGACTGGCAAATCGTGATGAATGACGTTGCAGTTGCGCACATTTGTGGGACAAATATAGGTGTAGAGGTAGAAAGACCTGGAGCGGTGACGCTCATTTGAACCTTACTGTCTTGCGATAAGCGCTTTTTGAAAATTGCCGTGAGTTGAAATGTTGCAGAAGACTACCCTCGCTTCTGAGTTGTCAGCATTTTATTGGTCGGACTAGAAATAATCTCGGTAGAATTGGGCCGTGGCCGGGTATGCCTAAGCCCATGAATAAACAGAGCCCAAATCAGAGACGCAACCAGGGGTGGAGGTGGGAGGGGATGTGGATCTGTCTTTACCGTATGCCCGCATGTTTTAGTTTGGCATCGTAGATGATTCTTGACCGATTTTTTTTTAATCCGAGTACGATCACGGGCATTGCCAAAGGGGGTATTGAACGGCGACGACGGGAGAGAGGGTTGCGTCCCCTATTCTCGAACTGGAAAGTACCATCCCATCCTATCAAGAGGAAAAAACTCAGAAAAGGCAAGTATTCAACACACGAGACTAACATCTAATATCTAATCACACACGAGACTAAGATCTAAGTAAGCTGTTTGCCAATATCATTAAAAGTGATAGATAATAGCTGTATTTGATCAAAATTACTGGTATGGTGAGGCTCTTATCCCTTCCTTTTGGCGACAACAGGGAACGCAGTGGAAGTAACTGTGCTGCGCGGGAATCAATGGGGAGTTGTTAGATGACATTAACACGCGCCCGGTTGGCCGGTTGGATACCCTTCGCTCGGGTGGGGAGTCAAGTTCGACCCCTGAGATCTCGGGAACTACGAGACCTATAGACGTCAAATTCACAGGGTGTGTTGACATGTACGTGACCTCTCTTAGGTCAACGTTGAGGTTCCTAAGTCTTGACCCTCAGGCCAAATAGGGTCAAACAAGGTCAAGTTCCAGATTGGTTTCCAAAGAGCTCCTAGAACTTACGCAAAGGTCATTCAAAGGTTTTTCAAAGTCATGACCAAAATGATATAAAACTGTTTTGAGTCTTGCATTTGGATAAGCAACAAAACCTACGCTAGGCGGTATGTTCCTAAAAACAAAATGTTGACCGGGGTCATTTTAGGACAGTGACCTATTCTGACCTATAGGAAGCCCGTGGAAGGTGTATAATGTGGTTCCTAATATCAATATATTCGAAATGAGCACCAGAAACCAGCCCATACGGCAATCCCGATACTAACAAAACAGGTTGGGTTTAACCTTGGTCTGAGCTTTATACCTGACCCTAGGTCAACGAATCTATTTGTGTTATACCTCATCACACGCCTAATCGTACGGCGAATACGATGTTGTGTTTTGAAAGTTTCCCACTCCCATAGTTTTGGAGTTATTTGGTTGGAATTGCTGGAGAAACTGTTGACATACACAGAAACTCTCACCGCTTCATTTTTACAATAAATGTACTACGCCCTTTCATTTCATAGCAAAAAGTCGCATTTTCAACATTTTGACAACATTTCCGCGTTTTAAATATGGTTCATTTCTTCAAGTGGTGGAATCACATTGTGTTATACTTCAAGAGACGCGTAGACGCGTAGTTGCACGTTGAATACGATGGTATAATTTTAAGTTTTCTCACTCGCATGGCTTTAGAGTTATTTATAAAACCTTTACAACCCGCGCTAAAATTTTGCACTTGCTGTAGGAGCTGTTTACATACACAGAACCACTTGTCGATTCAGACACACACTATATCGACCACGCGCTTCTATTTGTGACAAAAAGTTATATTTTTAAGGTTTTCACCTTTTTTCTAAAATATGGTTACGGTCAATTTTTTCTCATCACCTGGTGATCCAGACTGTAGTTGACGACTTGTAACATCGTTTTACATCGTTTGCAAGTCAAAGCAGCCTTTCAGTCTGATGGGCTTGAAAGATATGAGCTTGGAAAAAAATGGTCATTTCTTGCAAAACGCGTAAACAGGGACAGAACATGCACCCACTTCGTACACACGCTGAATTTACTATCGGCACTCATTTGAGACGAGAAAACGTCCGTTTCAGATTTTGACTTTTTTGCAACAGAGTGGCCCCAGTGAGATTTTCGTGCATTTGCATGTGGACAACAGCGACAATGAATGTTTGTGCCATCATTGTGTATCGTTTGTACGTGCAATCTGCTTTTGAACTGAGCTGCTTTCAGAAACAAAACCATGCAAATTTTCGCTCATCAAAAATTCCTTTTTCAGAGAGGAGTACAAGTACCTGCGGTGACGCTTTCGAGGGGATTCTTGCTGCCGACCCTTGGTTCTGACAGGCAGTGCTCTAAGCAGCCTCACGTAAGGCGCTATCTTGCTTTCAAACACTGCTCTTCGCGTACAGCGTGAGTTAAGATTACCTGTGTTCGGGCAAAAATCGTTCTGACTTGCAAAAGCACCAGGCAATTACGAAAAAAATCAGAGGCCCAAGGCTCTCGGCAAGAAGACTACGAGTAAGAAGCGCTGCTTGAGTCCTCTTGAGTCACTACAGTGGTGACTTGTTCTGATTATTAACGGTTTGTCACTCGTGACAGGACTCAGGACACTTCCGATCAATTAATTGCTCTTTTCTGGTACGCTTCAATGAGATCCTGGTGCCTATATGACGAAGTGTGAACACAGCAAGGCTAATTATAAACACAATCATGGTTAGACTGACAGACTATCTTAATTATAGGCTCAGAGCAGGTGAGCGGGTGTTTGTCTTTTTGACAACAATTGCGGTGA